TATTATTGTATACTGTACCTCTCAGAGACAGAAAGATCTATAGAAAAAGCTAGATGCAATGGCCTATTTTTCCTAGCGTCAAGATGGGAGGTGTTGAGGGGTTTGGAGGATTATTCAGTTTAAGCTTGACCATCCCAGTGGGGTGAGGGTGGTGTTATGAAAGAATGGGGAAAGAGAAAAGGAGAGAAAGTAAAACACAACACAGGCACACATGCGCGCACACACACACACACACACACACACACACACACACACAGAGCAAAAAAGAAAACCTCCAACCACAACCTGAACCCTGAGCACCCCAACATGGCTTCTGTTTCTGAGGTCTTCAATTCCGCTCTTGTCCCTGCATGGTCCCTGTGGGCCACATAGCACATCCCTAATGCAGGTGGCTTAAGTCTGAGTCCCACACAACTGGGGGCGTCAGGAGTGCAGGGGCCAGCTTTACCCTAATCTGGATCCCCTGAAGCAAGTGTGTCCCTCACAGCTAGTGTTCATTAAAATGAATTGAAATTAGGAAGCATCCTGTGCCACTCTGACTCTTTTTTTAGCCTTTGTTTCTTTTTCTGATCTGTGCTTTTGGGAAAGTAGCAATAATAAAGGAAGAGGGAACAGCAGAGAAGCCCCGTGGTAGTTATAAGTGGGATGAATGTGATGCCATCTTTTTTTTTTTTTTTTTTAAGCCCTGGGTTTCATCTGTCCCGGATTGGATTCCCATTCTTAGAAGAATAAAAAAAGGGGCACGGGGAGAGACATGAAACTGCCTCTGCTCTTTGAGGCAGCCTGGAGGGTCTGCCTTACAAAGGGCCAAGGGGGAAATGCTCAATTTTACTGTTTTGTTTTCTGCGTCCTTCTCTCTGGGACACTGTTTAGGGCGCTGATTGAAGTGGAAAATGAAGAACAGGTGAGCAGTCAGCTGTGCAAAACTCTAATGGGCCTGGCACCCCTTTGGGAACAGGCAAGGCTCTGGCTGGCACTCAGGATCAACATCTCTTTCAGTTTAGCAGACTTTGTTTCTGTAATGGGAATTGAACTCTCTAAGGTGGCCCCAGCAGGGACGGATTCCATGCAGTCAGCAGCAGTGAGGCTGCATCATCTAAAGGAACCTTGGCCTGGCCATGGTCTTGGAAGGGGCCCCTGGCTCCTTGAGGGCCTTGGGAACCTTGAGCTTCCAGGGCGGGGGCATGTGACAAGACCTGGAAACAGCACAATGCTAGGATCACTTGTGGCCCCCAGACAGTGGAGTTAGGATGGTCCCTAGGCTGGAGGGGACCATGAGCTTCTACGGATCCAGACTGGAGGGACCTGTGACCACCACATACCTCTTAGGGGAACTATGGGGTGGGCCAGCCCCTCACCAGCTTTTAAGCTCCCTTGAATGTTCCACAAAGAATTAGTCCTTAGATGGGGGCTAGGATGGTAGGGAAGGGTCAGCCAGTCTGTCTGTCTGTCTATCTATCTATCTATTAATAATATTAACAGGATTAATAAAAGGAGAAAGAAGCAAGTGTTCTATATTTACTATATACTAGCCCCTGTGCTAAATGCCTTGTTTTATTATTGTTGTTATTGTTATTTATTTTTATTACTACATGTCTGCAGTACATAGTGTTTACATTTGTTATGTGGAGTTGCTAAATATACACATCTTAATTCCTTCTTTAATCACTTTTCCCTTCCCTTTCCCCGCCCCCTTCATCTCTTGATTCCTTTCCTATTTGAGAAAGATCTGTCTCTTTACTTCCTATTATCTATCTTTTATTTTTCTCCTTATTTATAATTTGGGTTTCTCATATAAGAGTAACCAAGCAATATTTAAGCTTGTGTGTCTGATTCATTTCGCTTAACATTATTATCTCAAGGTGGATCCATTTTCCTACAAAAGCCTCAAATTTATCCTTCTTTGTGGCAGAGCAGAACTCCATCGTGGGTAAATACAACATTTTCTTTATGATATTGTCCATCTGTTAATGGACGTATAGGCTGCTTCCAAGATATAGTTATTATGAATTGTGCTGCTGTAAATATGGGTGTGCATGGATCACTATAATATGATGTCTTTAACTCTTCCAGGAAAATAGCTAGAAGGGGAATAGCTGGGCTGAATGGAATTTCTGGTTTTCATTTTTTGAGGAATCTCAATACTGACTTCCATAGTGGTTGTATTAGTTTACATTCCCACCAACAATTAGAAATCTGCACAGCAAAAGAAACAACCAAAAGAATGAAAAGAAAATCTACAGAATGGCAAAAAAAATTTTTGCCACCTATTCCTCAGACAGAGGACTATATGTAGAATAGATAAAGAACTGAAAAAATTAGACCTCCCAAAAACAAAAGATTCAATAAAAAAATGGGCAGCTGAAATGAATAAATAACATGAAGAAATTCTCAACTTCACTGGCCATTAGAGAAATCCAAATTAAAACAACACTGAGATTCCATATTATACCAGAAAGAATGGTCATCATCAAGAAATCAAAAATAAATCCTATCACAGATGTGGGAGTAAAAAGAATCCCTCTACACTGTTGGTGGGAATGCCTTGTTTATTATTATGTGAGAGCTATGTCTTCACCCCTTAACACTGACAAAAATTTAAACTTTATCCAGGGAGCCTCTTCTCTCTGGCCCTGTTCCTTTGAAAAATACAGAATTTGTAGAATGGATATAGGGAAGTAGGATTGCAGAGGCCAGGAGAAGGAGAAGAGCTCTTGCTAAGGCAGCTCCAAAGCTCTGTTTTATTGTGGACAATGCTGATAATAATGGGCAGAGTGCAGGTGAAAAATTAAAAATGAAACAAGAGCAACTTCCTTCGTGACACAACAAGTATGGGATGGGGAAAGTGAAAAGCAGAAAAATATTTGTGGGTTGGAGTGTTGGGTAGGGCCGTTAGATAAAGTGCAGTCAAATCTGAATTTTGGGTAAACAACAAATAATTTTTTTTTGGTATAAGTACAGTGGTGCCTCAGTTCATGAACAAATTCTGTGGCCAGAATCATGGAAAG